CCATTGTACATCTAGGAGAGTTTGACCCGTAACCTATGTCACGGCACTGCGTCTCAACACTGCACAAGCTTTTTGGCTTGGCTCTCAAACCTAGACAATATGGGTGGCGTCAGTTGAAGTTTTAAGCTATCTGTAGTTTTTCCCTTTTGCTTATACTTTTGTTTGTTTAAATAGGAAGTAAAACATGTGGAAAATATATCATTAATTTGCCTATGAAACCTAATGTGTTTATTAATAGGTTATTCATCAAGTCAGGAATCCGAAACAACAAATCATAAAAAGCAACCCTTTTAAAGCAACATTAGGCTGCTGTTGAAATAACTTTTGATAACATATTGCATGAAAATTATAGGAATATATGTTTGTGCTCTCATCCATCTTTGTTGTGGAATGTACCTGCATATTTGAAATGGTGTTTTAGCCGACCATTTTTTTTATTTGCAAATGCATAACTTTAGCCATTTAGTTGATTCTATGCTTACATTAGCTACTGCTTATAGTCATATTTCAGGAGGTTACAATTTCTGATACAGATATTTTGTGAGTGAATTCTGCCGGTTTACCTTTATTATTTGAAATGGAGGATGGGTGAGAATTAGTTACACCAAGTTTCAGCAAGATGTACAGTTTATAATTAATGACAGTTGTGTTGCATGTGCTTTACACAAACTGCTCCAGGACATAAACCCGTGAAGATCTGGGTTAGAATTGGTCTTCAGTAACCCATGCTTGTCGTAAGAGGCAACTAACAGGCTCTGATGGTCATGCTCGCTGACTTGGTTGACACATATCATCGGATCCAAATTGCGTAGATCAATGCTCATGCTGTTGATCACTGGATTGTCCGGTCCAGACTAGATTATTTACAGACCGCCACCATATGGCTGGAATATTGCTGAGTGCGGCTTTAAACAATAAACCAAACCAGACAGCAGGGCATTAACACAGACATCTTTACAAAGGGGGGCTATTGACTATTGTGGCCAGTATCTCAGTGGGCTGGCAGCAAAGGAAAAATACTCCTGCATTTAATTTCATCTTCACTGTCAATGAAAAATAATATGGTGAAACAAAATAAACTAGAGGACATGTTTCCGAAGTACAGATATAGTCACTTCAGATACTACTTCTAGCTGTCCCCTATTTCTGGTGTCCCCCGCCGTGATATAGCTGGAATATTGCTAAAAGCAGCATTAAACTAAACTCACTCACTCACTTCTAGCTGTTCATGTATGTATTATAGAAAGAAGAAATACCTGTACACTAGAATTGTGCATGTTCATAATTACACCAATCTTCACAAGACAATATGGACTGTTTTAATCAGTCATTATTGTTCATCCTAGTACAGAAATATGTTTGTTAATTATAGATGCAATTAACATAGGAAGTTGTGATCTTCATGGAAAGGTATCAATTTTCTGACCACCAGAGCTTGTATGTACTTGCTGGTATACGTTTGTGTAAGACATGCAACACAAGTGCTTTGAAACATAAATCAAGGAATTTTGCTACATTATGAAAACCAACAGTCCTGACAAACCCTATGACCAGCCAGCCTGCCTACCCTAACCTGTGTATCATGACTAATGTGCATGTGTAGAGTTGTCTCCCCTAACAACCCCTCCTTTCCAATTACCAAAGATTGCTAAGGCAAATAATGACACATCAACTGATTTGTATAGTAATCAGTTGTCCAAATAACTTTAGGACTATGTACTTGATACTGCTGTCTATACTTTTAATGACATGTAATGAGTAATTTTGTTTTGTTTTTTATGGTGAAAGCCTTTTTTTTTTCTTCCTCCATGGTGAAATCAGTGTAAACCAAATATATGTTTGACTGAATTAAGATCCTGTTTAGACCTCAGTCCAGATTGACGGAAGCCAAATTATAGCAAATGGTATTTCTCAGGAAAAGTCCAAATCTGTGACACATACAGCAATTTATGTGATAAAAATATCTTACGATATTTTTTTCTTCCGCGCAATGTTCAGTCCGGATCAGTTATTCTGATGATAAATATTCAGTCCTAGGTGAATTCTGTGATTCTGCTATTGCAGAATGATTTGCAGGAAATGTAAATTACTGTAGAGTTGCAGAAAAATCATAGAATTTGCTTTGTGTTATCAATCAACACCAAAAAGTTCTTTTATAAAACATTTCTCTCAGAATGATTTTCAAACATTGAACATTCAATTCAAATGTAAGAAATATGAATCCTCCAATAGAAAAAAAAAATTGAAATAGATTTCTTGTATTATAACTACGGAAACTATGTTTACATCTAACCATAGATAAATAACACTGACACTATGCGTATAATGATTACATAATTGTAGGACTTATTCATTCATAACTGTTTCTGGAATCATTTAGATTTGGATGTGAATTTGAGTTTTCAAAAAACTGACTTTGAATTAATTTTTGAGTTGAAATAGGTATGTTTTGCAGGGTACATAAGTGATTTTAGTCGAAGAATCCATCTAGGACTGAAAAATGTAGAAAATTTAGGACCATAACCTGTTTCGTTCTTGACAATGTTCAGTTTATACAGACAACATTGCATATTTGGTCATCTTTCTTTTTTTTAATTCCTGAAAGTTCTTTTTCATTTTATGTTTGAATGCCCAGGGTCTCCAATCAAGCTTATACAAGAACATCAGCTGAAAAGATTTGTTTTCAAGGAATATTTTTCATGTTTTTATATGGGACTACCCGTAAATATAATATTGAGGATTAGGTTTAAAAGATATATATTTTCTGATACTTATATCTCATTTATTATTTCCATGTCAGTTGCCAAGTGATTGTTCTGTGAAATAGCTTGATTAAGAATTTTTGAGAACTCATTACCTACGTTGTGCATGTCTGAAATCTTCACATAGAGAAACAGCAATGGGTACTGAAATCTTCCAATAGAGAAACAGTAATGGGTACCTTCTCAATCTGAAATATATACTTTTATCAATACTATATTTAGTAACAAGCCATTTGATGTTATACCCTTGAATATAACTTTTGAAAGCCAAGTAGGATTTCACTTTCCATGTTATGCAGCAGTATCAAAATTACAAGATGTGTAATTGATTTGATATCACAAGTGTCCAAGTGATAATGGAGCTTTGTGTATCATCTGACAGGGCTCAGTATCTTGTCATGCCTCTGTGGTGATCCGAAGTCAGGGTAGATTTTAAGGACCATGTGTTGGCATCGGCATCCTATCAGTAACATGTGCTGGTATTAGTATACCCATAGGGATTCAAGGGAAGAATATGTCTGCTGTACCTTGTGCTGGTATTCCCATAGGGATTCAAGGGAAGAATAGTCCACATTACCTTGTGCTAGAGGGGTGACGATACAGAAATTTCACGATACGATACGTATTGCGATATCATGGAACGATACGATTCGATAGATGCATATCACGATATGCTACCTTTAGTTATTTTCTTTAAAAAAGTGTATTTTGGTAACAAGAAACGGTGTAAATTTTGACGTAACCGTCAATTTCTGGTGAAACTTCACAATGTTAAGGTCAACGATACATATCACGATACGGAAAAATGTATTGATATATTTATTGTCAGAAAAAGTATCACAATTATCGATACTACGATATATCGCCACAGCTCTACCTTATGCTGGTATCAGTATTCACATCAGGATTCAAGGGAAGAATAGGTCCACAGTACCTTGTAGTGGTGTCAGTATTCCCCTAGGGATTCAAGGGAAGAATAGGTCCACAGTACCTTGTGGTGTCAGTATTCCCCTAGGGATTCAAGGGAAGAATTGGTCCACAGTACCTTGTAGTGGTGTCAGTATTCCCCTAGGGATTCAAGGGAAGAATAGGTCCACAGTACCTTGTAGTGGTGTCAGTATTCCCCTAGGGATTCAAGGGAAGTATAATCCCTCAGTATCATGTGCTGGTTTCAGTACTTCCCTTAGGGATTCAAGGGAAGAAAAGGCCCCCAGTACCATGTGCCAGTATCAGTATTCCCATTCGGATTCAAGGGAAGAATAGGTCCAGATTACCTTGTGCCGGCATCAGTATTTCTGTTAGGGATTCAAGGGAAGAATAGGTCCACTGTACCTTGTGCTGCTATCAGTATTCCCATTCGGATTCAAGGGAAGAATGGGTCCAGATTACCTTGTGCTGGCATCAGTATTTCTGTTAGGGATTCAAGGGAAGAATAGGTCCACTGTACCTTGTGCTGCTATCAGTATTTCCATTTGGGACTCAGGGTAAGAAAAGGTCCACAGTATCTGGTATCAGCAACCTTGTGGGGATTTGACGGAAGTATGGGTCTTGGGTACATTGTTATAACAGTACAGAAGGGAATTGCTCGGTGTTTAGGATGTCCCTCTCAAAGGCAAGAAAAGTGACTTTGAAAGTGTTGTGATTATCTGTATCCCCTATGTTTTCTGGGTATAATTGCCATAAAGAGGAAACTCTTCCACGGGTTACTGAAGGGTCATCCACCAGCACTGGGATATTGAGAAATTGATGCCATCTGATCATGTAATCCTATTCTCTGAATCTGCTTTTTGATGTTGTGATAACAAAGGTACAGAAGCTAGATAGAATACAAAATTGCATTAAATTTGTTACTGTAATTTGATATCAAACTTTGTTGACAAAGGAAATAATCTTACATTGAATGCTTACTAAATGTTCTCCGCAAATTACAGAACAAAACCTGCTATTAATGCTTATTAATAATATTTATGGAATAACAACCAGCTTGCATTAACTGAAAATGATTCTTTTTATCAATGCCATTAACTTACTGTAATTTGTGTGAAATTTAAATCATCCTTGCATACTGGTACTCTCAGGCAATAATTAGTGGGCATGTTAGCGTTACATCTTTGGGTAGAAGACAGTGTTGTAGGATGTTCCATTGTGGCCAACACAAGTCCTTTAAGACCCAAGCCCAGATGGAATGTAAGTGTTGTCATGGCAATGTGGTGACTTGCATGGATCTTGATGTTGCAGGGTGAGACCTACAGCTTCAAGGATGCCATTGTGTTGGGCGAATACAAAGTAGATGACAGCAGTGTGCCAAATGACAAGAGAACCGACAAGGTATGGAACTGGATAATTTGTATTCTGCTCTTAAAACTCTGAAATATATGGCTTTGGTTACTTTTGGATGAGGGGCGGTGGGGTAGCGAAGTGGTTAAAGCGTTCGTTCGTCACGCCGAAGACCCGGGTTTGATTCCCCACATGGGTACAATATGTGAAGCCCATTTCTGGTGTCCCCCGCCGTGATATAGCTGGAATATTGCTAAAAGCGGCGTAAAACTAAACTCACTCACTCACTCACTCATTTTTGGATGAGATAAATGAAGAGAGAGAGAGAGATTTGTAATGATATGATGTTATGATAAACCTGCTGCACTGATTCATTGTAAGGAAGAACCTTGTTGATTCATAAGTTGTTGTACAATGTTGTATTTGTTCTGCAGACTGGTATGTAAACTGTTGGACATTGTTCTGCAGACTGACCTAATTTTGAGAATAGCTCCACAGACTGATTGCTTTATTGTTGAACATTGTTCTGTCTGTTCTGCGAATGATTACCCATTCATTGAACAATGTTGTATTTGTTCTGTAGACTGATGTATGAAGTGTTGGACATTGTTCTGCAGACTGACATAATTTTGAGAATCGTTCCATGGACTGATTACTTTATTGTTGAATATTGTTCTGTCTGTTCTGCGAATGATTATCAATTTGTAGAACACTGTCATATTTGTTCTTTGGTCTAGGGAGGTTGGGTAGCCTAGTGATTAAAGCATTCCCTTGTCATGCTAAAGACCTCTGTTCGATTCCCCATATGGGTACAACGTGTGAAGCCCATTTCTGGTGTCTCCCACCGTGATATTTTTGGAATATTGCTAAAAGTGGCGAAAACTAAACTCACTCACCCACTCACTGTTCTGTGGACTGATGATCATATTGTAATCATTGATGTGTTTGTTCTACAGTGGAACTGCCCCTTCATCATGGTACAGAAGAGTCAGAAGATGGCCTTCACCTTCTTCGCTAAGACAGAAGATGCACGGCAGAAATGGATAGAGGCTATACAGATGGCACTGTGAGTGATCATTTTAAAAACTGTAGCTCGTCTCAGATATCCTAAAAGTCTAACATCGAAATATTGTGTTTTCATACATACTTTATTCATATAATGATGGCTTTGGGTTAATAGTTAATAAACAAGGGGTGACTATTGATGGGGAAACTGGTGCGATAGTGATAGTCTATTGCGACCAACTATTGCCTATTGCAATACCATTGCAATAGTTTTTCTCTCCTTGAATTGGGATCATTTGAAGTCATTTCCCAAATAAATGTATAGTTTATATGAAATAAAAACAAGTTGAAGTAGGTTCAGTCTCTTTTAATAACAGACGGGAAACTTGAAACCCAAATCAAGTAAACAGTTAAGACATAAACTCCATGAAACTGCAAGCCTTCACCCAAACAATAAAAACTCAAAGTGAATGAATCTGGTACTTCCTGTATTTTGCATTGATTGCTGAACCATCGATAGTCACACATACTATCGATGCATCGATAGTTTTTCGTTTCTACCATCAATTAATTGCTATCGGAGACTCAAGAATTGCAATCCATCGATAGTTTGATGCATCGTTGCAGCCCTGTAATAATCAGCTACAGCTGAAGCCTGGAGTCTGGGATCTTTATGTATGGATTTGTTGGGCACTACTCAGACTATTGAAGCAGAAGAAGGGGTCATGGAATTATGTATATTGTTTCAGAGAGAACACTCAGCCGTCAGCAGGCCCCAACTATGTGATGCAGACGTTTGAAAAACCCCGTGAATGTGATGTGTGTGGCAAACTCCTCAGGTATGTAGCCAGCTTCTGCATATGTCAAAAAATAAGCACAAAAAGACATATAATAAAGTGAGTGAGTTTAGTTTTACGCTCTCACCAATATTCCAGCTATATGGCGGCAGCCTGTAAATAAGCGGATCTGGACTAGACAATCCAGGGATCAACAGCATGAACATCGATGTACCTAATTGGGATACGATGACATGTGTCAACGAAGTCAGTGAGCCTAACCACCCGTTCCCGTTAGTCGCCTCTCAGGACAAGCATCATGTAATAAGGAAATTTTAATTAGACGTAGAGGAGGAATAAAGTCTGACCTAAAAGTCAACTAACAATATGAGAGTTGGTCATGTTCTTTGACTTCAAACCCATGAAGGTCCGGGTTAGAATATTGATCTTCAGAAACCCCATAAGAGCGACTAACGGGACCGGGTGGTCAGGCTCGCTGACTTGGTTGACAGATGTCATCGGTTCCCAATTGCGCAGATCAATGCTCATGCTGTTGATCGCTGGATTGTCTGGTCCAGACTCGATTATTTACAGACAGCAGCCACATAGCTGGAATATTGCTGAGTGTGGTGTAAAGCTAAACTCACTCACTCTTTGACTTCATACAATCAGTCATTGCTCATGCTATCAATCACTGGTTTGTCTGGTTTTTGCAATTGATTATTCACATGGTGTTGGGATTAGACAAGAATACAACTGACAGTAGCATTGAAAAATAATTCACTCCATCATGCATTTCACTTCTCTTTCACAGGGGAGTATTCTTCCAAGGCTACATTTGTCAAGGTGAGTTAATAAAATCAAAAGTTTACAAATAAATATGTAAGAAAAAATGGCCCAGGGCCTCCTTTCACAAAGCACTAAGTTGGTCGTAAGTCACTAAGGTAACCTTAGTGCAGTGTTAAAGAATGGGAGTTAGGGTCAACCTTAGTAAAGGTTGCTTCTTGAAAGGGGGCCCCAGGTCCAGTATTCAAAATTGGTGCAGTCTGTGAAACCATTTTCTGGTGTCCGCTGCTCTGAAATATTGCTGGAATATTGCTAAAAATACAGCGAAAATCATACTCTTGATGTTGATGGCACTGTGAAATATCTCCAATAACTGGAGGTCTCCTTGCCTGTAGGATTCCTTTAACTTATAGACAAAGTGACCTTGACTTACAGGTTAGAGCCAAATTACATACTTGCATGTATTAGTTAAACTGTAACCCATGCTTTTTTGTATTCCAGACACAAAGAAGGCTGTTCATAAAGAATGCATAGGGAAGAAACCTGATATTAAACGTAAGTCTTATTCCCACATGGCAATGCCTATAGCTGAATATTTTGCAAACCTTGAATTTTAAAGTTATCTATTTTTCCTTATCCTTACTCATGCTCTTTTGCTTGTCTTCTTCTTCTTGCGAACATAGTGGAACACTTGTATCTCCCTAATTGAAGCTCCCTTCAATGTAAAATCACTAATTAGTACTCACCACGAGTTGCCTCCCTCTTCCTTTGCGCGGGAAAGGAGGCGCGCCACCCTCTGGCCTCATGCTTCACTCTCTCCTTCTTCGCCCAGTGAGCAGGATGTGAGAGCGCCTGTGTCTCCCTACACACTATATCCTTTGATTATTCTTAGTTAGTTACCTCTTATAGTCTTCTATAGAGGTGTAGCTAGTATCCTTCAACAATTATGTATTGATAATTAATCGTATTTCTGCTGTTTATTCACGGGACGCCGTGATTGTTCAGCAAGTTTACGTTGATGAAAATCTGTACTATTTGTAGATTACGCTTTTCTGCTGCTGATCCGCATTTAATATGCCCTAGCTGTACTACGCCATGTGCGCTTTCTTCACGTTGCAGTTACTGTATTAATCTGTCTAATTCTGCATTTAACAAATATTATCTTTGCGTCTTGAGATAGGTCACGCAAACAAGGTTTAGCCATGGCCGATACATCGGAACCCCTAGCCAGTCAACTGCTGTCGGACGACCCCCTCTCGTCTGGTGTTCCGCTAGAGTTACCCTCGGAGGAGAGGCGTGGGACGCAGTCCGCCGTCTCCATGAAGCGTCCTGCATCCCCAGACCTCCCGTCGTCGCAGCCAAAGACTAAGAGGGCTTCGACATCATCTCAACGCAGACTCCGTACCCCCAGGGCAGCATCTACCTCCAAGGGGAAATCGACGAAGTCTTCTAGAACCTTCTCAGCCGAGATTGTTCCCGCCGCAGCTGATCATCATACCCGATGTACGCCACAAGAAACGACCGGTGTCGGCAACAGTGACGTCAGCGCAGATCGCCATGCAGCCTGATGTACCAACGCTGATGTCTGACGATCTTCCTGAGGGCCCTGTCGTTACCAAAGCAGAGAGGGCACCGACTACATCTTCGCAGACCGTCCCAGACGACCTGATGCGGCAGATCATGAAGATGATTGAAGACCGATACAGACTGGAGAGACAACCAGCCCAGAGCCTGAGCCTTCGCGAAGGCTCCAACGTAGACGACACCCCAATGGGACCCCCCGTCAACCGTAGCGGCCACTACAATGCCACCTCCGCGTTTGAAGTCGGAGACCACCTCGGCGAAGGACCCAGATGTACAGCCTTCGCGAAGGCCTTCGCGAAGGACTTCTAGATCGTCATCTACCTCGGACCTTGATGATCAACACTCACGAGGACGTTCGAGAAGAAAGATCATCTCATCCCCGGACTCTGACTTCGCAAAGGTCAAGTCGTCGCTCCCCAGGACCGGTCTCAGATGAAGCTTCACGAAGGGCACCAGTTACAGGCTCCAAGTCATCTTCGTCTAGAAGGTCATCGAGGGATTCCCCAAGAGCTCCGCGAAGCTATCAACGTTCACCACATAGATCGCCGCGAAGGTCACCATTTAGCCACAGCTCGTCAGCTCGTTCACCAAGACGATCTCCTCGCCGATCACCTCGTCGTCCACCTCGCCGATCGCCTTGCAGGTCACCACACCGTTCGCCGCACAAGTCTTCACGGAAGTCCCCAGTCAGGTCTCCGTTGACGTCATCCTGCACAGAGGTAGAAGCATACAGGTAACCATCGGAAGAGCATCAACCTCTTATCAGCGATCCCGTTATAGAAGATGATGGAGGCATCATTTTCTCCGATGCTGAGATACGCTATTGGATGGTTAACAACCTGGACCTATCTTCCCCTTCCACGAACGGTAATCCGGCCCACACTTACGTTATGAGGGAGGACGATGCAGACAACATCACCCTACCTCCAATCGACCCGATTGCTACGGTCCCACAGAATCTGGACACAGCCTTCCATAAAGCCACTAAAGTCCGAGCGCCACACTTACAACAGTTCAACGCAAAGAAGTTCTCAACTCATAATATGGACCCCTTTTTTAAGGCACAAGAGATCGATGATAACTACAAAGTGATCAACGATGTCAAGAATAAGAACTATAAGATTGACAACCGCAAGCTGGTTCAGATCGAAACCATGACAAGGCGAATGTTCTTCGGCCTTAATAGATCTAGAACGATCAATGAGACTCTTATCTCCAGATTTCGAGATTCGACATCTGAGGATGACAGAATGATCTACTCGGCCCTACTTATGCAAAAGAAGGACCAGCAGTTTCTAACGGATCATCTCACATCAGTCTCTGCAGCGCTAACTCTGGCTCGTCGTCAAGGCCTCCTCGCTTCCTGCAGCTGGGGTGAGCAGTTTACAGCTCCACTCTACACAGCCCCGTGGTCTACGCCATCCATCTTTGACGGAGGAATAGATAAAGTCTCTAAGGAAGTCACCAAGGATTCTAGAGAAGTCCTTATGATAAAGTCGATGGACACGCTGAAAGACAGGTTCGGACGACTGGAGTCTTCCACCCCCAGCCGTTCCAGTACAACCATCACAAGTGGGTGGACGCCTTCAACTGCACTGGGAGAACTGGGGAATGTTACAAGACCCATATGTCTCCAACATTCTTCAACACGGATATCGAATCCAACTACAGGCCACGCCTCCGCTGACAGTCAACCCTCACAAGTTCGACTTCCAGGCGCAACAACTACCAAAGTTACGAGAAGCTGTTACATCTCTCCTAACCAAGCAGGCCATAGAAGTACTAGATCAAGTAAACATCGAACCAGGCTTCTACTCCCCAGTTTTCCTAGTGCCCAAGAAAAACTCCAAGGAGAAATACAGACTCATTTACAACATGAGCACATTCAACAGAGATTATCTATGCAAACCGCCAACGTTTCGCATGATACATCTACCTCAACTACGGCACCTAATTCGTCCCATGGACTACATGGCCAGTATAGATCTGCAGGATGCGTATCTACATATCCCCATACATCCCGAATCCAGGAAATACCTACAGTTTACACTAGACGGGCTGCATTATCAATGGAAAGTACTCCCATTTGGAATATCATCGGCCCCCTGGTTATTCACAAGAGTAACGAAACCGATCGTCACCTACCTACATCGTCTAGGGCTAGGCAGTGCCTTCTACCTCGACGACGGGATACAAGTAGATCAAGATCCACAGCATCTCAAACTACAGTTAAACTTCATCATCAAGCTACTAACACAGCTAGGATGGTTAATAAATCTACTCAAGTCGGACCTAGTACCAACGCAAGATCTGCAATTTCTAGGCATTCGATTTATCACGACACTGAACCATATCGTCGTACCAGAAGACCGATGGCTCTATATCCAACAGACCATCCCACAAGCCTTACTTTCTCCGCTACCACTACGACAATGGCAGAGTCTGTTGGGTCTCCTCACGTCAGCCCAAGACATGACAGTCAGAGGCAGACTACAGTTACATCCGTTACAGGTCTTCATCAATGCTCATTTCGACGACCTACAGCCATTCAGTCTACCGAAACATCTCAGACCTCATCTACTATGGTGGACCAGGAGGTCGAATGTCTGCGAAGGCATTTATTTAACAGAGCTGGAATTCAAAACCCATCTCTATGTAGACGCGTCGCTCCAAGGTTGGGGAGCTCATCTCGCCAACCGGACGGCATCAGGGTTATGGAACCAGCAAGAAAGCAAGCTCCACATAAACATGCTAGAGATGAAAGCTGTAATCAACGCCCTACTACATTGGAGCACCATTCTACAGAAGGCGCATCTGATGATTCACACCGACAACTCAACAGTGGCGTTTTATGTAAACAAACAAGGCTCAACGAGATCACTGAACCTATTGACTTTATGCTTTCAACTGTTTGATCTAATCAACGATCTCAACTTACATGTCAGAGCATGTCACATTCCCGGAGCCAAGAATGTACTAGCAGACGCACTCTCTCGGCCACATCTACCGTCACCGACAGAATGGATGCTCCATACAGAAATCTTTGCACAGATTATCAAGAAAATAGGAGCTCCGCTAGTAGATCTATTCGCCACTCGCTTCAACAATCAGCTAACAACATTCAGATCACCAGTCCCGGATCCACAAGCGTGGGCAGCGGACGCTCTAAGCATATCCTGGGAAGGCCTCAGCGGCGTACGCGGCTTTCCGCCGCCAGCGTTAATCCCACAAGTGTTACAGAAAATCAGACAAACACAGAGCCTCCAACTGATTTTGGTCGGGCCCTACTGGCCAGCGAGAACCTGGTTTCCCATTCTAATTCAAGAAATCGGACAACCAACACTAGAGCTACCAAAGCGCTCGAATATACTAATACATCCTCACACCAAACAAGCGCACGGAAACCCAGAAGCATTCCAACTTCACGTATGGACTGTATTAAAGTGTATCTAAACAAGAGAGGTTATTCAGCCAGAGCGGCGAAAGCAGTCACGCTTGCTTTATGCTATTCTACATGTAACTTGTACGACGACAAGTGGCACAGTTTCGAAACTTACGCAGCAAAAAAGGGATTTACAGCGAGAAATGCTACACATCCACAAGTGGCTGACTATCTGTGTTACCTACGCCAAAATAAACATTTAAAAGGCTCGACATTGTCAACATATCTTGCCGCGCTTAGTTCTGTGATAACTATGAGAACGGGTGTCAAGTTAACCAAAACACCAGAATTACTGGCCTTACTATGTGCATTCTGATTGGAGGATCAGAAACAGAAGTTCCGCACTCCAGCATGGGATCTAAATATAGTGCTCAAACACCTCACAAGTGAGGCTTATGAACCACTGGAATCAACAACTTTTGAATTTCTCTCACAGAAAACATTGTTCCTGTTATCCCTAGCAACGGCAGCCAGGATGTCAGAAATTCACGCACTAGATTATGAGAGAATACGTTTTGACGACAATCAAAACATAGTGCACATGGGACTACGATGGGATTTCATCGCCAAGAATTTATTGCCAGGTCAACCAGACAGATTATTCCATGTTCCTGCACTCTCCTCAATTCTCGGATCTCAAGATACGCTTGACCTATCTCTATGCCCAGTCAGAGCTCTCAAAATCTATCTACAACGATCCAAAACGAGGCGACAACAACTCAAGCGGTTATTCATCCCTCTATCGACAGCGACTCAGACTGAATTCTCTCGTACCACCATATCTGAACTGTCATACTTCGCGCCTACAAGGCTGCAGGACTCGACCCTCCAAGAGCATCTAATCCACATGAGATCAGAGCACTGGCTTCCACACTCGCTCTACACGGTAACTGCTCATTAAATACCATTATGGAGGGCTGCTTTTGGAAATCAGACATGGTGTTTGCTAATCACTATCTGAGAGATATCACCACCGAGGACGTCTCAGGTATTCACCATTTCGGTCCCATGGTCCTCGCACAGCAGTTGACAGTCCCTCGTAGACAATGAGACATAGTCTCACGAGATTATTATGTATATATCATACCAGTATCATCTAGCTTATAACTCTACGGAGTTTTAGGGCTATTTATATACATATCTTAAGTCTACTTAGTCTTAAGCCCAGTACTGATGTTTATGTACAGTTGGGTAGCTTCTCCATTTTGGGTTGCTTTTATACCATTATTGCTATTATCATAGTATATTATTATTGTAGTACCCCATCTATGGCAGCTGGTAAACTTATGGTTTATAGTAGCAGGAATTATCCTAATTCAGTGCCATTATGAAGTTCCCGTAGGGGGTTATTACATATATATATAAATCACTAATTTATTTAAATCCAAAGTATTCTGTTTTTCCCACCTCCGTTTCCGTAGGATTCTACAAGCAAAAGAGCATGAGTCAGGATAAGGAAAAATATGTAATTTTCTGAATAAAATAGATATTTTATACTTATCCTGACTCATGAGGTAAGCCCTCCCATCCTCCCCACAAACCACTTTGGATTTCCCTGTAAATTCAAGTGTTGGGCTCACTATATCAGGAGAGAGTGAAGCATGAGGCCAGAGGGTGGCGCCTCCTTTCCCGCGCAAAGGAAGAGGGAGGCAACTCGTGGTGAGTACTAATTAGTGATTTTACATTGAAGGGAGCTTCAATTAGGGAGATACAAGTGTTCCACTATGTTCGCAAGAAGAAGAAGACAAGCAAAAGAGCATGTGTCAGGATAAGTATAAAATATCAGTTTTATTCAGAAAATTACATTTTCCTGATAGATGTTGTTTTAACAAGAAGTTGTGCATGATAGTGCATGCTTGTAGAAATGGGGCAAATAATTAGCAGGCTTTGCCCAAAATAGCCTACCAGTGCAAACCTTTGCATTCATTTTAGTATATCTTAGTGTTTATATTTGAACAATTGTTAGTTTCTTGTCATGGAAAAATACAACATTTTATGTAGTCTCTGGCTGTTGTATTATAATTAAAACAATTAGTGAAATTTCAGTATTACTGGAAAAATGTTATTGTTACTCAAATGAAATATCCAATATTCTAAGATGCCTAGCTGTTAGAACAATCGAAAAAAAAATACATTATCAGACAATAAAGGTATAGTTTTTTGATGACGTAACAATTGAATGACGTTTTCCCGTCACTGCGCCATTCTAGTGTGCCCCCTCGTAATCGAACCATTTTACATTACGTCACAATGTAAGCGACGTCACGATGCATGTCAGTTGTCATCGCCTCGTACGGCCTCCTACAGTAAACTACACCGTTGCATCCAGTTTCTTGGTTTGCTGTTGCTTCACGCAGCTAACATCACTGGTGGAAACATTACGTTTATGTTTTACGACGGTTAAAATGTGTCATTTCGACTCACAAGTTTTCAGCGACACGGTAGCGTTAAGTAATGTTTACATTCCCACAATGCAATTGTGGAATGTCGCTTGACTACTCAACTTCCTCTGGATGTACTGATCTAAACTTACGCTGGTAGTAGAAATGCAACGTTCATATTGCCCCATATGGTTTACGTGAATGACAGATGTAATTAAAATAATTCAGAGAAGATATTTAATCCGTCATCAAACTGTTATCATTTGTTTTTTTCTGGTAACGTTCGTCTTAACGTAGGGGGCAGACACATCAATAGAACAGCGCGCCAGTTAGCCCTGTGCGAGGATTCTTAATTTAGGTCACCGACACCGTCGTTTGTTTTCTGCCTTAAATTAATCGTAATTATCTTTAGAAAGTATTAAATTTGGCATCCTCGTGCTCGTGCTTGAACTATAATAGTTCAGGGCAAAAGTGTGTTTTATTACACTATACATGGTGGTAGGGCGAAGTGTATTTCTTAAATAGTGTTTACTGTGATTGTGTTTCAGCTTTGTCACCGAGACAGCCCAGGCCATCACCACAAGGTGAGTCATGGTGGAGTGTTGCCTCTGTTGATTATTGTACATATTGAAGCTAAAGTGACCATATCCTTGTCATATGCTTACTATAGCAAGTTCACTCATTTTCTAATGTTTAAAACTAGTTATATTAGATTTCCAGTAACACATCTGAATTATAAAACTGTTGAAATCAGTTTCAGTTGCCTGAAGCAAACTTAGAAATAATAATTTTCTTTATTTTTCCTTATCCTGACTCATGCTCTTTTGCATGTCTTCTTCTTCTTGCGAACATTGTGGAACACTTGTATCTCCCTAATTGAAGCTCCCTTCAATGTAAAATCACTAATAAGTACTCACCAAGAGTTGCCTCCCTCTTCCAAATGCGCGGGAAAGGAGGCGCCACCTCTTCCCTCATGCTTCACTCTCTCCTTCTTCGCCCAGTGAGCAGGATGTGAGAGCGCCTGTGTCTCCCTACACACTATATCCTTTGATTATTCTTAGTTAGTTACCTCTTGTAGTCATCTATAGAGGTTTAGCTAGTATCCTTCAACAATTATGTGTTGATATTTATTCGTATTTCTGCTGTTTATTCACGGGACGCCGTGATTGTTCAGCAGTTTGCGTTGATGAAAATCTGTACTGTTTGTAGGTTACGTTTTTCTGCTACCGATCCGCATTTAATATGCCCTAGCTGTACTGCACCTAGGCATTTTCTTCACGTTGCAGTTACTGTATTAATTTGTCTAATTCTGCATTTAACAAATATTATCTTTGCGTCTTGAGACACACAGCAGATAGGTCACGTAAACAGAGCCTAGCCATGGCCGATACTTCGGAACCCCTCGCCAGTCAACTGCTGTCGGACGACCCCCTCTCGTCTGGTGTTCCGCTAGAGTTACCCTCGGAGGAGAGGCGTGGGACACAGTCCGCCATCTCGAAGAAGCGTCCTGCATCCCCAGACATCCCGTCGTCGCAGCCAAAGACTTAAGAGGGCTTCCACTTCGTCACAACGCAGACTCCGTACCCCCAGGGCAGCGTCTACCTCCAAGGGGAAACCAGCGAAGTCTACTAGGACTTTCTCAGCCGAGATTGTTCCCGCCGCAGAACTAGGCCTGTATGATGATCAGCCGATCATCATACCCGATGTACGCCACAAGAAACAACCGGTGTCGGCAACAGTGACGTCGGCGCAGATCTACACGCAGCCTGATGTACCAACGCTGATGTCTGACGATCTTCCTGAGGGTCCCGTCGCTACCAACGCAGAGAGGGCACCAACTACATCTTCGCAGACCGTCCCAGACGACCTGGTTCTACACATTATGAAGATGATGGAAGACCGCTATGGCCTGGAGAGACAACCAGCCCAGAGGCCGAGCCTTCGCGAAGGCTCCAACGTAGACGTCACCCCAGAGGGGCCCCCGGTCAACGAAGCGGCCTCTATCAAGTCATCGCTGGGGGACCCACCTGCGCGAAGGACGTCACAGCCCACCTCTGCGAAGGACCCAGATGTACAGCCTTCGCGAAGGACAGCTAGATCGTCACCTGCCTCGGACTCCGATGATCAACACTCACGAAGAGGTTCGCGAAGGAAGATCCTCTGATCCCCAGACTCTGACTCGGACCCCCAGCCTTTTCGCGAAGGCCTTCGCGAAGGTCAAGCCATCACTCCCCAGGACCGGACTCAGATGAAGCTTCGCGAAGGTCTTCGCGAAGGGCACCAATTACAGGCTCCAAGTCATCTTCGTCTAGAAGGTCATCGAGGGATTCCCCAAGAGCTTTGCGAAGCTATCAACGTTCACCACATAGATCTCTCGCGAAGGTCACCATATCGACGCAGCTCACCAGGCTGTTCTCCACGACGATCTCCTCGCCGATCTGGGCGGTGGGGTAGCCTAGTGGTTAAAGCGTTGGCTCGTCACGCCGAAGACCCGGGTTCGAATCCCCACATGGGTACAATGTGTGAAGCCCATTCCTGGTGTCCCCCGCCGTGATGTTGCTGGAATATTGCTAAAAGCGGCATAAAACCAAACTCAGTCAGTCAGTCCTCGCCGATCTCCACGTCGATCACCTCGTCGTTCACCACGTCGATCTCCACGCAGGTCATCACACCGTTCGCCTCACAAGTCTTCACGGAAATCCCCAGACAGGTCTCCGTTGACGTCACCCTGCACAGCTGTAGAAGTATACAGGTCTCCACCTCAGTCACCATCGGAAGAGCATCAACCTCTTATTTGCGATCCTGTTACAGAAGATGATGGAGACATCATAGTCTCCGACGCAGAAATACGCTACTGGATGGTTAACAACCTGGACCTAGCTTCACCTTCCAAGAACGGTAACCCGGCCCACACTTATCTCATGAGGGAGGACGATGCAGACACCATCACCCTACCTCCGATCGACCCGATAGCAACAGTCTCTCAGAATCTGGACACAGCCTTCCATAAAGCCACTAAAGCCCAGGAGCCACACTTACCACAGTTCAACACCAAAAAGTTCTCAACCCATAATATGGAACCATTTTTCAAGGCACAAGATATCGACGATAACTTCAAAGTAATCAACGATGCCAAGAATAAGACCTAAAAGATAGACGACCGCAAGCTGGTGCAGATCGAAACCATGACAAGGAGAATGTTCTTCGGCCTTAACAGATCAAGAACGATTAATGAAACTCTCATCACCAGATTTCGAGATTCTACATCAGAAGATGACAGAATGATTTACTCGGCCCTCCTTATGCAGAAGAAGGACCAGCAGTTCTTAACGGATCATCTTGCATCAGTCTCCGCAGCACTAACTCTGGCTCGTCGTCAAGGTCTCCTCGCTTCCTGTAGTTGGGGTGAACAGTTTACATCTCCACTCTACACAGCCCCGTGGTCTTCGCCATCTATCTTCGATGGAGGAATATATAAAGTCTCTAAAGAAGTCACCAAGGATTCAAGGGAAGTCCTTATGATAAAGTCGATGGACACGCTAGCCAGCGTCATCAGGCAGACATCACAGAGATATTCAGGAAGATCTAAGTTTACTGGCTTACAGAAAGCACGGGATAGGAAGATGGCCACCTCAAGAGGAAAAGATTCTTTTTGTCGCCCATACGGCAACTACAGAAGAGGATCAGGAAGAGGCAGGGCACCTAGAGGTTCCCGCAACTATAAACAATGAAAGACGGGTTCGGAACGACTGGAGCCTTCCACCCGCAGCCGTTCCAGTACAACCATCACAAGTGGGTGGACGTCTTCAACTGCACTGGGAGAACTGGGGAATGTTACAAGACCCATATGTCTCCAACATCCTACATCACGGATATCGGATCCAACTACAGGCCACGCCTCCGCTTACAGTCAACCCTCACAAGTTTGACTTTCAGGTGCAACAACTACCAAAGTTACGAGAAGCTGTTACATCTCTCCTAACCAAGCAGGCCATAGAAGTACTAGATCAAGTAAACATCGAACCAGGCTTCTACTCCCCAGTTTTCCTAGTGCCCAAGAAAAACTCCAAGGAAAAGTTCAGACTCATCTACAACATGAGCACATTCAACAGAGATTATCTACGCAAACCGCTAACGTTTCGCATGATACATCTACCTCAACTACGGCACCTAGTTCGTCCCATGGACTACATGGCCAGTATAGATCTGCAGGATGCGTATCTACATATCCCCATACATCCCGAATCCAGGAAATACCTACGGTTTACACTAGACGGGCTGCATTATCAATGGAAAGTACTCCCATTTGGAATATCATCGGCCCCCTGGTTATTCACAAGAGTAACTAAACCCATCGTCACTTACCTACATCGTCTAGGGCTACGCAGTGCGTTCTACTTCGACGACGGCATTCAAGTAGATCAAGATCCACAGCGTCTCAAACTACAGTTAAACTTTATCATCAAGCTACTAACACAGCTAGGATGGTTAGTAAATCTACTCAAGTCGGACCTAGAACCTACGCAAGATCTGCAATTTCTAGGCATTCGATTTATCACGACACTGAACCGTGTCGTCGTACCAGAAGACCGATGGCTCAAGATCCAACAGACCATCCCACAAGCCTTACTCTCTCCGCTACCACTACGACAGTGGCAGAGTCTGTTGGGTCTCCTCACGTCAGCCCAAGACATGACAGTCAGAGGCAGACTACAGTTACATCCGTTACAGGTCCTCATCAACGCTCATCTCGACGACCTACAACCATTCAGTCTACCGAAGCACATCAGACCTCATCTACTATGGTGGACCAGGAGGTCGAATGTCTGCGAAGGCATCTATTTAACAGAGCTGGAATTCAAAACCCATCTCTATGTAGACGCGTCGCTCCAAGGTTGGGGAGCTCATCTCGCCAACCATACGGCATCAGGGTTATGGAACCAGCAAGAGAGCAAGCTGCACATAAACATGCTAGAAATGAAAGCTGTAATCAACGCCCTACTACATTGGAGCACCATTCTACAGAATGCGCATCTGATGATTCACACCGACAACTCAACAGTGGCGTTTTATGTAAACAAACAAGGCTCAACGAGATCACTGAACCTATTGACTCTATGCTTTCAACTGTTCGATCTAATCGACGATCTCAACATACATGTCAGAGCATGCCACATTCCGGGAGCCAAGAATGTGCTAGCAGACGCACTCTCTCGGCCACATCTACCGTCACCGACAGAATGGATGCTCCATACAGAAATCTTTGCACAGATTATCAAGGAAATAGGAGCTCCGCTAGTAGACCTATTCGCCACTCGCTTCAACAATCAGCTAACAACAACATTCGTATCACCAGTCCCGGATCCACAAGCGTGGGCAACGGACACACTAAGCATATCCTCGGAAGGCCTCAACGTGTACGTGTTTCCGCCGCCAGTGCTAATTCCACAGGTGTTACAGAAAATCAGACAAACACAGAGCCTCCAACTGATTTTGGTCGGGCCCTACTGGCCAGCGAGAACGTGGTTTCCCATTCTAATTAAGAAATCGGACAACCAACACTAGAGCTACCAAAGCTCGAATCTACTAATACATCCTCACACCAAACAAGCGCCGCGGAAACCCAGAAGCATTCCAACTTCACGTATGGACTGTATTAAAGTGTGTCTAAACAAGAGAGGTTATTCAGCCAGAGTGGCGAAAGCAGACACGCTTGCTTTACGCAATTCTACACGCAACTTGTATGACGACAAGTGGCACAGTTTTGAAACATACGCTGCTAAAAAGGGATTTACAGCGAGAAATGCTACACATCCACAAGTGGCTGACTATCTGTGTTACCTACGCCAAAATAAACATTTAAAAGGCTCGACATTGTCAACATATCTTGCCGCGCTTAGTTCTGTGATAACTATGAGAACGGGTGTCAAGTTAACCAAAACACCAGAGTTACTGGCCTTACTATGTGCATTCTGATTGGAGGATCAGAAACAGAAGTTCCGAGCTCCAGCATGGGATCTAAATATAGTGCTCAAACACCTCACAAGTGAGGCTTATGAACCACTGGAATCAACAACTTTTGAATTTCTCTCACAGAAAACATTGTTCCTGTTATCCCTAGCAACGGCAGCCAGGATGTCAGAAATTCACTCACTAGATTATGAGAGAATACGTTTTGACGACAATCAAAACATAGTGCATATGGGACTGCGATGGGACAGATTATTCCATGTTCCTGCACTCTCCTCAATTCTCGGACCTCAAGATACGCTTGACCTATCATTATGCCCAGTCAGAGCACTCAAAATCTATCTACGACGATCCAAAACGAGGCGACAACAACTCAAGCGGTTATTCATCCCTCTATCGACAGCGACTCGGACCGAAGTCTCTCGTACCACCATATCGATATGGATCAGAACTGTCATACTTCGTGCCTACAAGGCTGCAGGACTCGACCCTCCAAGAGCATCTAATCCCCATGAAATCAGAGCACTGGCTTCCAAACTCGCTCTACACGGAAATTGCTCGTTGAATACCATTATGGAGGGCTGTTTTTGGAAATCCGACATGGTGTTAGCTAACCACTATGTGAGAGATATCACCACCGAGGACGTCTCAGGTATTCACCATTTCGGTCCCATGGTCCTCGCACAGCAGTTGACAGTCCCTCGTAGACGATGATTAGTCTCACGAGATTATTATGTATATATCATACCAGTATCATCTAGCTTATAACTCTACGGAGTTTTGTGCTATTATATACATATCTTAAGTCTATAGTAGTCTTAAGCCCAGTACTGATGTTATATGTACATTGAGTCGCTTCTCCACTTTGGAGTCGCTTTTATACCATTATTACTATTATCATAGTATCTATATATTGTAGTACCCCCATCTATGGCAGCTGGTAGAACTTATGTTTTATAGCAGCAGGAATTAGCTTAATTACAGTGCCATTAGGAAGTTCCCGTAGGGGGTTATTACTTATACAGAAATCACTAATTATTTAAATCCAAAGTATTCTGTTTTCCCACCTCCGTTTCCGTAGGATTCTACAAGCAAAAGAGCATGAGTCAGGATAAGGAAAAATATGTAATTTTCTGAATAAAATTGATATTTTATACTTATCCTGACTCATGAGGTAAGCCCTCCCATCCTCCCCACATAACACTTTGGATTTCGCTATATCAGGAGAGAGTGAGGCATGAGGGAAGAGGTGGCACCTCCTTTCCCACGCATTTGGAAGAGGGAGGCAACTCGTGGTGAGTACTAATTAGTGATTTTACATTGAAGGGAGCTTCAATTAGGGAGATACAAGTGTTCCACTATGTTTGCAAGAAGAAGAAGACAAGCAAAAGAACATGAGTCAGGATAAGTATAAAATATGAATTTTATTCAGAAAATTACATTTTGTAAAAATACTTTATGATGATGTGTATTATATGAAGCAGGTAATAAATGTTTTGGGGTAAAAGTAAATTGACTTAACATTTATGATGACTATTCAATCATATTTAATGGATATTTTGGTAAATAAACTAAACTAAGGGGTTCTGAATTTGAATTGAATGTTATCAAGCACTATGAATAGGAAGGAGGCAAACTGTAATATAACTTCCCACCAGTATTATGTAATTATCCACCAGTATTATCTAATTGTCCACCTGTATTATCAAGTGACTTTTACGGGGCATTTAGATGAACCCAAAGTGTTCATGTTGCTACTCTTTCATTGTGAATGCCAGGTAACATTTACAACAAATTCTTTTCTGTCACTATCCTCCCAGGAGTAACCAAAGCTCGAACTGTCACCGCCTACACGGGAACTCCGCCTCCCAATGGGCACCGAGCACTCACCTTCAAGTTAGGAGAGACGATTGATATTGTAGACCAGACAGATAAAACATGGTGGAAGGTTCGTACTCTCTCCTCGTCTGACTTGACTTGTAAGAGATTTAAGACAATGAGACAGACATGTTATTCTGGCATGAGTTACTAACATGAATATTTCCTGAGTACATGGATGAGAATTTTCCGTGGATTTGATCGTGCTGGGGTCATTCTTGTGAATTGTCTAAATATGAGGCCCCAAGGACCCCACACTCATTTTCCTCATTTTTCACTTATACCCATTCTCATTCTCTTCCCACAGAGATACTCAAGTCATATCTTCCCACGTACCTCTGTTCTAATACGGCCATATTTCCCAGTTGTCATAAAATCCCCTAGCGACAAAAAATCGCAACATGAACTATCTCCCTTCTTTCTATCCAATCAGAACATGTGTTACATCGACTTAGCTCCAATATGGCGGCCGCCATAGAGTTAGTTAATCAACATGCAGAGGATAGATTCGGTATTTCATGTTTAACTGAAAATCAGAAACTAGCAATAGAGAATGTAGGAATCAATCACCTGTCTGTGTGCATGCACTGAATGACAGATTTGACATTTTATATATATTAACAACAAATACTCACAGAAACCCTTGTCACTGCAGGGTCGTCTTCAAGGTCAGGAAGGCTTCTTCCCTGCCAGCTATGTACAAGTATCTCGGATTGCAGTAAGTGGCCATGTTGTGGCTGTTAGCACCTTCAGCCTGTACCTTGGTGACCCAGGCCATTATAACAGGGCACTCATTGTTGCAGGGGGGCTTGTGGGGTTTAAGGGGGCACTTACTTGTCATGGTTTGGAATTAGTCCTATGTTCGTTCTTGTGAGTCAGTGTAGTTTTACGCCGCTTTTAACAATACTCCAGCAATATGATGGTGGGGACAACAGAAATGGGCTTCACGCATCTGGGTCTTTGGCGTTACAAGCGAATACTTTAACCTCTAGACTACCCCATCGCCCTCATTCTTGTGAGGGGTGGTGGGGTAGCCTAATGGTTAAAGCGTTGGTTCGTCACGCCGAAGACCCGGGTTCAAATCCCCACATGGGCACAATGTGTGAAGCCCATTTCTGGTGTCCCCCCGCCGTGATGTTGCTGGAATATTGCTGAAAGTGGCGTAAAACCAAACTCAGTCAGTCAGTCAGTCATTCTTGTAAATGAGGACTTTGTTCTGCCAGTATTAGCAGGGACTACGGATGGTGTTATTCACTATTACAGTTCCAGGCTGTCATGTTTTTGCATGTCTTTACCTCTTTGGCTTTTGCATACATTTAGATTTAAATCTTTCAGACTAAAAGCAAGGAAGAGCAGGTAATTCATGGTTATAATACACTGGGAAGTTGTTTCTTTTCTTCTACAGACTAATGATTTGGTTTTATAGCAGTGATGTTCAAAATGAAGATGTGACCATTCTGATAACGTATTCATTTTGTAAAAATACTAACCAGACATATGAGTGTAAAAGGTACAGCTGTCCAACTTCAGTGGCAGAGAGAATAATGATGTCATGCAGGGACAGCAGTCTGTTTAATGTGCAGCCCTTTTCTTTAGGTTTACGATCTATAGTGGTCAGTAATCAACCAATCAGAATGAAGTATCCCACAAAGTCATGCGAGAATGTACGATACTTTAAGGTGGGGTGTTTTTTCTTCAATATTTAATATTTACAAATACTGACAATGTACTATAGGTCGATTACCAAATAACATATGCAAGACATGTTTCCGTGTTTGAGTATTACTTCATATTACATATAAAACATTTATTGAAATTGAATTGAAGCACAATCCTTTGCAGATCATTTTTCCCTTTATGTATTCCAATATTTTGGTATTAAGTTTTCTTCTGCATCTCGAAATATTTTGCTGAGCTAATAAAATAATTACATTTCAAGGCTTATTACTGTTTCCTATTATGCCCAGTATGGTCTCTGTTATGCTTTGTAACTTTGAAGATAATTATATGGACTAAGACATTTCCAAATCATACCCTGTCAGGACAGTTCCACAGCTCCAAAGTGTATGGTAAAAGTTTCTGGTTCCTCTTTACAAGAGATAGTTAATGTATCCAGTCTTGTAAAGGAACAATCTTGTCAAGATTTATGAATGATCCTATGCAGCCACCATTTTTAGTCTATACTCCGAGTTTTTAATGGGGATAATGCTTAAAACTTTTCTAGAATGTTTAGTAAATGCAGGATAAATTTTGTTCTAATTTGGAATGAAATAACATCACATTGTATGAACTGAGTAACGTGAGAGTTTACTTCTGAGAGTAGAGTTTACATTGAAATGGGTACCAGGTAGATGGGGTTACTTGAGGTTTATTTAAATTGCTGTATATTTCATTTGTGAGCATAAAGCGTGACAGCTTTCTTAACAACTTCATAATTCAAAGTATTATTACTAATTGAATACATTTTTGTGAATTCTTCAAAGGTCACCAATAGATCTTCCTTATTTATCTCATCGTTCACAATAAATAATACCTGATCAGTATTTATCCATGTTAATATCGTTATTATTCCATGTCATTATTCCATGGTGATTGAGTTTGAAGTTTTACATTTAATACTAAATTTCATCCAAACTGTTCTTGTTTCCAAATTGCATTTCTTATTGTTGGAATGATCTCATTTATATATTAACTGACTTCAGGCCATGTCACGCCTTGATTGGTCAATCTGTTTCTGAAAAAATAGACTCCATTTTGTTTGCCAGTATTTGATTTGCTCACCATCTCAGCTTATATACAGACTTGAAGAACTGGTATGGTAGAGAAAAGAAACAGCACACTGCAACAATAATAGAATATGAAAGAACTTTGTATGTTACTAATGAAGCTGGTAGGATGGGTAGGTGTTGCTACTTCACTGGACCTGTGAAGATGTGTAACAGGGTTAGAATTGATCTTCAGTAACCCATGCTTGTCGTAACAGGCGACTAACGGGATTGGGTGGTCAGGCTTGCTGACTTGGTTGACACATGTCATCGGTTCCCAATTATGCAGATCAATGCTCATGCTGTTGATCACTGGATTGTCTGGTCCAGACTCAATTATTTACAGACTGCCGCCATATAGCTGGAATATTGCTGAGTGTAGCGTAAACTAAACTCACACACTCACTATTTCTCTGTGATATTATGATAACAAATGGCAACCCACCTGTTGTTAATTGGAGTTTGACTATTATGTCCTATTGTTCTAAGTTCTCCTTAGGTGCCTGTCCTTCCACTGACTCCTGGTGATGAGCGGGAGACGTTCAGTGCTTTGTGCGTCCCCTTTGCAGATATATAAAAAGACTAATATCCTATGATCAGTGTGTGGTCAGTTCAAGCTTCTTTATGGCTTCGGTTGCAGTTATTCTTTGTAATATGGGAAAATGCTGTCTTCATGAAGGTGATGGAAGACTCTCACATGTGTGCAGTGATTTCATTCATGCATTGGTTGAGTTACTTTGAATATTGTCATCCTAAGTTTATGACTGATAAAAGGTGACACTAATTCCATTATCATTAAGATTATGTTTACTGACATAAATGTCATATTCCCAAACATTGACAACAACAACACATAAGAGCTTTCTTTTAAAACTATGTTTTTACAACTAATTTGTGTAACAAGTAATGGTGACAGCATTCACATGTCATAAAGTGAGGCAGAGATACCTGTGGGCACATCAGAACATTGTGAACAGCCCCAGCTTACCCAGATCATGTTTCTAGGGATGTCAGTGCCATGCCATGCAGGGGTGGAAATAACCCATTGCCCGACGTCCGAGTCCAGTGTTTTTTTCTGTCGGGCAAGCAAATTTGTATATCACACTGTACCGGTGTCCAGTTGACTTTCCAATGTTAATTATGTTGTTTATTTTATAAAATCAACAAGAAAACGGTCGGTATAGTGGAAAAATTATCAGGGCAAGTGATTTTACATGTGCCACTGTACCGGAGTACACTAGCAATTTTAAAGTTATTTCCGGCCCTGCCATGTTTGTGGGTGTCACCAATGTGGTATAGACTTCTTCCCGTACCCCCTAAATTATAACGATGAGGAAATATTTCTTTCAGTGATATTTTTAGAATTTGGATATGTCTTTCAGTATGTTCAGATACAATTAAAGAAACATGTTAAAACTCATCCTTATCAGATGAGGAATATATACTGGTACTCAGGTGATGTGATTTGACTAGGATGAAATTTAAGGGGGGATATGGGCGGAAGTCTTTCTGAAAAACTATCAGGTGGACCCAATGTTTTAGCCTAGCTGAGTATATGGTATTGTACCTCATGACTTCCATACTAGTTTACCAGACCAACATGTGATTATTTACAAAAGATCCCTAACATAGCTCAATATATTTCTGAAAGTGATGCAGAGCAGTTCTATACAATTCTTTACAGTTTTTATGTAATGCTTGAGTCACTATTTTTGCAAAAAATGAAAGAGGTTGTATCATGTCAAGGAACAGGTGAGCTACAGAGCCTTTGATTCTGTTGTGTAGGTGTAACAGGTAGTAATATGGTGTCACTATCTAATATCATACAAACGTCGGACTGTGCCGCCCACAACTCCTGTATTGATAAGGAGAGAATTTATGTATGTTTACTTTTTATTTTATAACGAAGTCAACGTTTCAGGGTATATTCTCACCCCTTCATCATGGTATATCGGATTATACTCTGGTTATAACGAGTAAGAATATACTCATGTGGTCAGAGACTAAGGATATGCTCTGAGACGTATTCCTTGTGATAATGAAGTTGACATTCCTATATTCTCTCCTTTATGTGAATCACTTCTAAATGGCAGTCAATTGCTGTAGTACTTGTGACACCACTGATGTTGAGATGTTGTTTCCCTGACAGCTACCTCAGTATGAGAACCCTGTCCCTCGAGTGGTCTCCCACCAGGCCAGGGTGGTGCGGGAATTCAGCAACGGTCCCCCACAGCGCCACTTCTTCGTGTGTCCTTGGTAGGAAGGGCTGGACTACGTTGGCTCTCCTAGTGTGTAGTTGACAATTAGCTTGGGATTCTTACTGACACCTTGAGACATGCTGGACGAAAACACAAAATAGCACTTCACCTTTTATTCAGTAAATCATTCTAAATCAACTACTCTAATAAAATTAAACAGGTTAGTGATCATGAATATTTTGGGAATATTTTATGGAATTTGTTATTAATTTTTACAAGTAAATATCTCCAAACATTCATGATCACTTCATGTTCTTGTTCTGTAAATATTTTCCCAAATTGCTTAGATTATGTTTTCACACATACTACTGGAACATATTACTATTGTAAGAAGTCTGTATGTAATTAAATGTTGTCAGTTTGAAACTCTTGTGTGTGGGTCGGTGGCATTAACCTCAACATTTTGTTTTTCTTCAGGTTGAGAATTTTAGTTTGTTTGGCATGGATTGCCTCTTCTGTTCCTCCCAGAGATTGTGTTTGTTTATTTGGAATGCTAGGTTGCTGTGACCTATAGTATCCAAGGTTCAGAAATATCTTACCATCAGAGTCAGTGAAACATATTTAATCTAGCGAATGTTGCCTTTCGTAAACTGACAGAAATTTGGCAGTTATTGTCTTTGTATTATATGTTTACTGGACATTTCTGAATAATACTTAGAATGACATTTAATATGCAGGGAGACACGGTTGCCTTGAAATACTGTCTTCCGGACTCACTGGAACTTACTATGTCTAAATTAGTTTCTACCTAACTAGCATCTGTTCAATCAGAGATTTGAGACACTTGCCCAGAGTCAAGTAAAATTTTGTTTGGTCTAGCAAACTCTGATTAATAGTCTACGGAAACCCTCAATTCTACTGATACTGATGCTAGAGGCCATTTTGAGGCTAGTAGTGTCAAAGTGTTTGACTTCTTTTCACTGTAAAAACTAAATTATGAATAATTTCATGAGTAACTGTAGCATCTGGATAAACCAGGATTCTGTATTACAGCCTGTTCTCGATAACCTACGCCAGATATGTGGAACTGCAAAGGTATATTTCTGAACCAAGGATAGAGAAACAGCTTACATTCTACTTCTAACATATCAACTATTTTGTTTGTATTTTGATTGTGTGTATTTCAGCGGAAAGACTCGTACTTGGACGTGACGTTTCCCAATAAGTCCTCCAGTCCACAGCTATCAGACACAACATCCGCACCATCCTCTGTCAACTCCTCACATTCCTATGTTAATGTCACTGAACTCAAAGAAAAACCATGGTATGTTGTTCCTCAACCAGAACTAGTCTATCTAGTAGGCAGTCGTACCAATTGCCAAATTGCCAAACATTAATAATTCAAAGATAATCAAGTTCAAAAGTATATAACGGAAATATATATGATATATGTCACAGGGAAATACATCCTAATATTGTAGTGCTTGAAACTTATACAGTGAATTCTTTGCGAATTAACAGTGTTGCAAATTTGTTAAGGGTATACTTTCTAATATCACAGTGCCTTTCATTTATAAGGGAATCCTGTTGAATTTGACAACGCCTGTTATGTACAAGTGGAATTTTACAATGGTGAAAATATAATCGGGCCATACTCTCTGATACTAAATCATCTAAAATAGGTCAAGGTAAAAGTTTATAAGTTAACAAAGCGTAATACATGCTTGGAAAGACAACCTAAATTAGCCAAATAATGTGCCCCAGCAGGATCTGCATTTAAATAGTAAGCTCAATACTTACATGCTGTACTTAATAAACAATTTATTCTTGGTTAGAGTAGGTCCCTAGCACCCTACGCTGGTTGTAAGAGGCAACTTTATGGACAGTTCCGTATACCCTGCTGGATCCTGGCTCATGATACCAATCACTGGATTGTCTGGCCCAGTCATGTTTATTAAGGCCTAGTCATATAGCTTGAGTACTGTTGAGTGCGAGAAATTACACCCCACCCCACCCCACCCCCACCCCAAAAAAAAAGATACTGAAAACATAGCAAAAAGTATTACTACAGATCCTTCAAGGAGTAATTGAATCTCAGCTCCAGTAGGACAATGCTGGTGTGTTGCTAAGTCGTCCAACAGCCTCAAGCCCATGTGAACTCTATCAGAGAATGTGTGATGACGTGGACACATCTGCAAACTCGAAAACAAACAAGTATTATTTGTGGACTTGTCTTGCGAGTGTTTTACTAACTGATAATAATCTCCATGTTCTCTTCTGTTGGAATGATAGTTTTTCCACAGTGTTATCCCAGTTAGTGAGTGTGTAATACTTTTAGTGAGTGTGTAATACTTTGGCATGCTTAATTGTTGATTATAATCTCTTCCTGCATGGAGGTGCTGAAACAGTGCTGGACTTACCTTTGGTGTTGACTTGCATTTCATAACTGCCAATGATGGGACTTGCAATTTTATTCCCGTAATCTATTATCTGAACCAGTTACAAAATCCTTGAACTGATCCTTGGCAGCCTATGCTTGTCACAAGAGGTGACCAAATGAACTCGGTGATCAACCAGGGCCATAGGGCATGGATCATATTATCAATCACTGAGTTGTCAGTTTGTCATATTTACAGGCTCGCTGACTTGGTTGACACTCAGCATCGTATCCTAATGGCGTAGATCGATGCTCATGCTGTTGATCACTGGATTGTCTGGTCCAGACTCGATTATTTACAGACAGCCGCCATATAGCTGGAATATTGCTGAGTGCACCGTTAAACAACAAACAAACAACCAATACAACCCATCGTCGTATTGTTGCAATATTGCTGAGTGCACCTTTAAACAACAAACAACCAACCAATACAACCCATCGTCGTATAGTTGCAGTATTGTGGAGTGTGGTGAAAAATCACAAACCCACAGCTGTTAGCTAAAACCTCAGTGTCATTGTTTTGTGATGGGTTGACCAGTGCTCAACAAGCATGGGCTTACCTTGTTTACTGGACTTGATGATGTGTGCAGCTTTATGCTGAGCCCATGTTCCAGGTAGAGCTGGAGTTCAGTGCATGTTGTCATTAAGGTTGTTATTTGTGGATCATTACATGGTCCTATCAATGTTCATTGTTGATCACTGCATCTTTTCAATGCAGTAATGATCAGCATTAATTGAATATTGTGGACTGAGCTTGAAGTCAACATTTGCCCCATAAGTCACAAGAGTTTGTGTATCCGTAAGTCATGACCATTTCTATATCCAAAAGTCTCACATTGTTTGTATATCCATAAGTCATGAGCGTTTCTATATCCAAAAGTCTCACAACTGTTTCCATATCCATTGGTGTATGTGCATGTTGAATGCATGAGTAATTGTGTGTAGGTATGTGGACGAGATGGACCGAGATGCAGCCCAGGCCATGCTTGACCAGTGTCCAGATGGAACCTTCCTCATCCGCAAGTCCATCAGCAGAATACGCTTGGGAGCATACTCTCTCAGTATTAAGTAAGTGTCAACTAACAGTACCCCACTTGTTGGTAGAATGTCATTTTCAAAATATTTGTTGTTTTTTATGTTGTATCATCAGATAATGAAAGATTGTTTAACTTGTTAAATCATCTGTGCTCAAATCAGGTCAGAAAAGAAATGATTGTCACAAGGAAGGTCCACAGGAGGGCCTTTTGGTCATTTGTGATCAGACTGAGTGTCATTGTACGGCCATTGTTGTGAGAGTTGATGCTTATGGTATCAACCACTGGTGCTCTGGCCCTGGGCCCCCTTCCTCGTAGCGTTAGGACAGTCATAAGTCTGTGTTGAAGTATGGGAGTTACGATGATCTCAGCGCTACGACTGTTGTATGTCTGTGTTAAAGTATGGGAGTTACGATGATCTCAGCACTACGACTGTTGTATGTGTGTGTTAAAGTATGGGAGTTACGATGATCTCAGCACTATGACTGTTGTATGTGTGTGTTAAAGTATGGGAGTTAAGATCATCTCAGCACTACGACTGTTGTATGTCTGTGTTAAAGTATGGGAGTTACGATGATCTCAGCACTATGACTGTTGTATGTGTGTGTTAAAGTATGGGAGTTATGATGATCTCAGCGCTACGACTGTTGTATGTCTGTGTTAAAGTATGGGAGTTACGATGATCTCAGCACTATGACTGTTGTATGTGTGTGTTAAAGTATGGGAGTTACGATGATCTCAGCACTATGACTGTTGTATGTGTGTGTTAAAGTATGGGAGTTACGATGATCTCAGCACTACAACTGTTGTATGTGTGTGTTAAAGTATGGGAGTTACGATGATCTCAGCACTATGACTGTTGTATGTGTGTGTTAAAGTATGGGAGTTAAGATCATCTCAGCCACGACTCAGCTCTATGACTGTTGTATGTGTGTGTTAAAGTATGGGAGTTGTTCAGCACTCGATATGTCTGTGTTAAAGTATGGGAGTTACGATGATCTCAGCACTATGACTGTTGTATGTGTGTGTTAAAGTATGGGAGTTACTGATGATCTCAGCACTATGACTGTTGTATGTCTGTGTTAAAGTATGGGAGTTACGATGATCTCAGCACTATGACTGTTGTATGTGTGTGTTAAAGTATGGGAGTTACGATGATCTCAGCACTATGACTGTTGTATGTGTGTGTTAAAGTATGGGAGTTACGATGATCTCAGCACTATGACTGTTGGATGTGTGTGTTAAGGTATGGGAGTTAAGATCATCTCAGCGCTACGACTGTTGTATGTCTGTGTTAATGTATGGGAGTTACGATGATCTCAGCACTATGACTGTTGTATGTGTGTGTTAAAGTATGGGAGTTAAGATCATCTCAGCGCTACGACTGTTGTATGCACTACGATCGTTATGTGGAACGGGGCCCAGGCTTGATTGATTACAGGCTGCCATGATATGGCTGGAATATTGTCGATTGTAAACCATCTTATGTGGACCTTATTGTCGATTGTAAACCATCTTATGTGGACCTTAAAGAATTCCACAGTACTGATATTAATGCCTCTCTCACCTGCCAGGTACGCCAATGCAGTAAGGCACATCAAGGTGAACCAGAATGCTGAATCAAAGTTCTTCTTGGCAGAGGGGCGCTACTTCGATTCAGTCCCAGTGAGTTTCTTTGTGTGTTGTATGACAAAAAACACAATCCTGTCATTGTAGTATTTAGCCTACAGTTCACTATCACAACATTGTTTCTTCTTAAGGCTAGACCAATATTTATCCCCTGCAGCGCTTTGGGGGGGTATTAAAATGCACTCCGTCCGTGCACATTTGTCTTTTCTGGAGCAGAACTCTAAAACCGTTCAATATTTAAACTTGGCACATGGATAGATCTGGTGGTGTACTGGTGCCTTTTGGTAGTTTTGGATTTCTGAATAAAATATTTTTGGCGTTTCCATGGCAAAAAGTTTGACTTAGACTGAAATTGGTGGTAGTGCTCTTTTCCGGAGCAGAACTCTAAAACCGTTAAATGTTTCTTCACCACACTTGGCACATAGATAGATCTGGTGGTGTATTGGTGCCTTTTGGTTGTTTGGGAATTCTGAATAAAATATTTTTGGCATTTCCATGGCAACAAGTTTGACATAGACTGAAATTGGTGATAAAACTCCTTTCTGGAGCAGAACTTTAAAAAGCTTTCAATACTCTCCTTCCACTTTTCTATATACACACCTAAATATAATCATAACTCGTAGACATAATCATGAAGAGTATTTTGCCATTGCGGGGGATATTGATGACTTTGTCTTCTTGTTTTTTGTTGTTGTTTTCCTCCTGCCTTTAGGTTTTATTAGGACAAAGGTCCGTAAAACAAAAAATAAAATTGGCCTGGCCTAAATTTGTGAAAACATTTATTAGGATTGTTTCACTAATGTGGATTGAAAGGTGAGACAGACCTGATACAGTCTTCCTTTGACAACCAAATTTGTATGAATAGTATGTTATTGGTAAACACCCACAGCTTTGTTGTTTGTTGTTTCTTTTACTTCTTAGTTCTTGTTACTTCCACACAAAGATCTGAGGTTGTTTTGTTTCAGGTCATGTCAGAAAGATCTATTGTGAACAACACAATTAAAAATTCCTCATTCTTTACATTTTACTCAAATAAGAACAGTAACATAACATTTAAGTTTCAAACAATATCTCAATGTTCCCAATTTCCAGACATGCATGCAGTAACTGACTGATTCCTCTCTCTACATGCTTGCATACACACATGCACACACACATGCACACACACATGCACATATGCATACATGCATTGATGTTTGTAATCTTACGCCTTGGTGTCTTTTCGGCCAGTAATGGCCCGGTGTTTTATGCATACAGATTGTATCTATCTGTATGCATGACACCATAATAATCTATCTATCATTCTATCTATCTATCTATCTATCTATCTATCTATCTATCTATCTATCTACCTACCTACCTACCTACCTACCTATCTATCTATCTATCTATCTGTATTTATGAATGTTAATGAGAACCACTTGAGCATAATGTTGATTCTGTTGATCTCTTGTGCCTGCAGAGACTTGTTTCACACTACCAACAGAACTCATTGCGGGACAGCTTCCCTGATGTCAACACAACACTCAAAATACCCATCCGGAATGCCCAGAGTGAAGGAGGTATGTCCATTTGGTAGCTTCTGGACCATTTAGATGGAACCAGCTTACTCCTCACTTGTTAGAACCTTCAGCTTATGCATTTGGGAAGATTTGAGTTAGTCTATTAGTTTATACAGGTTAGAATTAGTTTTCAGCAAGTAGTGCTTGTCTCCAGAGGCTACTAATGGGATCGGGTGGTCAGTCTCTCTAGGTCTTCAGCAATTAGTGCTTGTCATAAGAGGCTACTAATGGGATCGGGTGGTCAGTCTCTCTTGGTCTTCAGCAATTAGTGCTTGTCATAAGAGGCTACTAATGGGATCAGGTGGTCAGTCTCTCAGGTGGTCAGTCTCTCTAAGAGGTCTTCAGCATCGGGTAGTGCTTGTCAGCAAGAGGCTACTAATGGGATCGGGTGGTCAGTCTCTCTTGGTCTTCAGCAATGGGATCAGGTGGTAGTGCTTGTCATAATGGGATGGGTGGGCTACTGGTCTTCAGCAAGGATCATTATAAGAGGCTACTAATGGGTGGTCAGTCTCTCTTGGTCTTCAGCAAGTAGTCATAAGAGGCTACTAATGGGATCGGGTGGTCAGTCTCTCTTGGTCTTCAGCAAGTAGTGCTCATTATAAGAGGCTACTAATGGGATCGGGTGGTCAGTCTCTCTTGGTCTTCAGCAAGTAGTGCTTGTCACCAGAGGCTACTAATGGGATCGGGTGGTCAGTCTCTCTTGGTCTTCAGCAAGTAGTGCTAGTCACCAGAGGCTACTAATGGGATCGGGTGGTCAGTCTCTCTTGGTCTTCAGCAAGTAGTGCTAGTCACCAGAGGCTACTAATGGGATCGGGTGGTCAGTCTCTCTTGGTCTTCAGCAATTAGTGCTTGTGACCACAAGAGGCTACTAATGGTTTTTGATCGTCAGGATCTCTGACATGGTTGAAATATCCTCGTATCCAAAGAGCATAAATGCTCATGATATCTGTCACAGGATTGTCTGGTCCAGAGTTGAGTATTTCCAGACCGCCATCGTATAGCTAGAATACTGCTGAACACGGCATTATTGAAAAACTGTTCAATCTCATAATTAATTTGGCCTCAGAGCTGTTGTAAATTCTGACATGTAGGCACCATTTCCAGACACACAAATAATTTGAACGTTTGGTTTGTCTATTCCTCAGACATGAAGTAATTAGATGATCACAGTCATGTGGATATCACTTTCTATCCACTGAGGTGTTATTTCATGTCAGCTAATTGAACTGCCCACCCACTTTGAGGTTTAAACACCCAATCCAGTCATTTACTATATACCCATGTAAACTTAAGATAGTAATACAGGGGTGAAATATGGATGATGTGGTCAAATTCTGTATTGCACCCCAGATTCGTATGGAACCCCTGCCGATTCTACTTTCTCTAAGCTATGATTTGTTTTATTAAGTAACAGATTAATGCAAGACAAGAGGGTATATCACAAATATAGAACGTCATACTTGTGCATTTGGATGTTTTGTATTGAACTCCAAGATGTCATGGGAGCAGAGAAACAACTCATTTTTTCGAACACTGACACTGACATCACTCCCATGACATCTTCACGTTCAATATAAAACATCCAAATGCACTAGTATAACATTCTATATATGTACAGATGCATTTGTTGTACTATTTTATGACTGAAGCATATTTCTTCGATTTGGCCCAGTTTGATACATCAAATATCATTGACTGTCTATAATGGCAACCTGATGATTGAGGGGAAAAAATATCAGCGCCTTGAGCATGTTGTAGATACATGGATATGTGTGCTATATAAATATCCTATAGAATAGAATTTGTGCCACACACCTACTAAACAAGGTATCTGTTACTCAGGTGGGGCTGAATTTGCATGCTGTGTCTGTGAGTTTCTAATGGATATCATCTTGTGGGCTTTCAGGAATGAAATAGGTCCCCACTGTCTTTGTACTATGCACCAATTGGTTACAATGTAATCGGCAAAGCATTTGTAGCACTATGTCAAGTTACGTTGACTCGTAACACTACAAATGCTTAGATCAGGACCTTGGCTGATGTGTGGAAGTCTGATATTGTGGAGACTTGTTGATGCATTGTCTGTCACAAGCATCTCAAGTGTCTCAGTATTGACTTGATACAGGCTGCCTGGGCTTCGATGTGATGGTCAGAGCTCCAGATAAGATTTAGCTAATGTGGGTACTGTACCCACTGTACTTTTTTGGAGTGGGTATTATGAATGTTGAGTGGGTATTTCATTTTCCGTTACCCACTGCTTTCAAATATGTGCGTATTTCAGTCATTTTACACACCTAAATATTGTGTCATTGAGTAAGTTTACTAAGCAGGTATGTTCTGCCTTATGTCATACCTAATCAAAACCAACTTAAATATAAGGGAAATGATTTCATAAAAAATCAGTCATCCTATACTGACAGTACAACACTTGTCCTATACTAACAGTACAACTTGATAGCAATCGATGTCTTTTTCATTACGCAAGCGATTTTTATAAGTATATTCCGTACGCATTTGTTTTAAACTCTTTGCGTATCTAACAGTTTAAATGCGTAATTGGTACGCAACAATTATTTTTCAATGCGTAATTGGAAATTTTCTATGCGTATTTTACCCGGATACGCAGCTTATCTGGACCTCTGATGGTGCTTACTGTAGCATCTTTCACACCTGTGAATATCTGGGTTTTAATTTCTTTTCTTTTTGCTTTTAATATCCTAATTGCATATTTGTACTTATTATGTCAATCACTGGATTGTGACTGAGTCTCGGACTGGAAGATGAAACTGTCTTTAGAATGTAATTGTGTATGATGTGGAAAGTTAAATTGTCACCCACTTCTCCAGTTTCTGAAATGAGCACTGCTTGCTACTTATGCTTATATTTATACTTAATGAAAAACACTGCTTATCCCAAATGCTGTCTAACATTGGATTAATGCTCAAAGTGACATGTAGGATCTCTTGTCTCACGGAGACATGTGGTTAAAGTGACATGTGTGATCTTTGGCCAAAGTGACATGGGATTTATGGTCACAGTGGCATTAGGTCTGTGGTCACAATGTCAGATTGGTGACACATGAGACCTGTGGTTACAGTGACTTTTATAGGATCTATGGGCACAGTGACAGTAGGTCTGTGGTCACATTGGTAACACATGGGACCTGTGGTTACAGTGACTTTTATAGGATCTATGAGCACAGTGACAGTAGGTCTGTGGTCACATTGGTAACACTGTGGTCACATTGGTAACACATGGGACCTGTGGTTACAGTGACTTATAGGATCTATGGTCACAGTGACAGTAGGTCTGTGGTCACATTGGTAACACATGGGACCTGTGGTTACAGTGACTTTTATAGGATCTATGAGCACAGTGACAGTAGGTCTGTGGTCACATTGGTAACACATGGAACCTGTGGTTACAGTGACTTATAGGATCTATGGTCACAGTAACATTAGGTCTGTGGTCACATTGGTGACACAGGGATGGAAATAACTCCGGTACAGTGGCACATGTAAAATCACTTGCTCTGATAATTTTTCCACTATGCCGGCCATTTTCTTGTTGATTTTTTAAATAAACAACATAATTAACATTGAAATATCAACTGGACACCGGTACAGTGTGATATACAAATTTGCTTGCCTGACAGAAAAAAACACTGGACTCGGGCGTCGGGCAATGGGTTATTTCCACCCCTGTGACACATGGGACCTGTGGCCACAGTGACTTATGGGATCTATGGTCACAGTGACATTAGGTCTGTGGTCACATTGGTGACACTAGGGAACTGTGGCCACAGTGACTTATAGGATCTAAGGTCACAGTGACATTAGGTCTGTGGTCACATTGGTGACACATGGGACCTGTGGCCACAGTGACTCTAGGATCTAAGGTCACAGTGACATTAGGTCTGTGGTCACATTGGTGACACATGGGACCTGTGGCCACAGTGACTTATAGGATCTAAGGTCACAGTGACATTGGGTCTGTGGTCACATTGGTGACACATGGGACCTGTGGCCACAGTGACTTATAGGATCTATGGTCACAGTGACACAGAAGATCAGATAGTCACAGTAAGATATAGGATGTGTGGTCACAGTGACAGCTACCTGCTCATTAAACTACTGGAGCTGGCTAATGGGGATTGTATGACATCAGTCTAGAGTACTGCTCATGCTATCAGCCAATGATTTCCGGTCCTGATCTGATTACTGTAGTTTGCCATGAACATATTCACTCACTCCAATAACCAGGGGTTCAAAATATTTTTCAAAAGCCATTTGCCACAGGGCAAGTGACTTTAAGATGTAATTATGAAAGAATATATCAACATGGTATTTGATGTTAATGTTTTCTGGACTATTTATCGAGGAGTAATGCACAGAAAAGACTGCGAAAATCATTGCGAAAATTACTTCATTTCGTTCACATATCGTGTCAAATTTTAATAGCTACGTTTTGAGAAGATATGAAATGAAATCCAAGTTTATATGCAGTTTGAAACCGTAAGCAGAAATTATCTGGTAGCCCACGGACAAGTAAGATACCATTATTTGATTGCCCGAAGTGAAAACTGACTTGCCCCAGGTGTCGGGCGATGGGATTTTTGAACCCCTGCAATAACGCAACATACTGACTCCCAAAGTCACTGTTTACTCTTACTTTTGCCTGTACAAACTACACTAACAATGACCTAATAAAAGTAATTTATTATTGCACCGAGAATGATATAGTCTAAATCAAGTCCCCTGTAGCTGATGTAAACAATCAGGAGTTTTCAGCCAAGGACATTTGAAAATGACCATGCAGCATGTTCTTTAAACTAGAAAACATGTCAGAATTTGAAAATAGATTATATAGTTATATCAAAGAGTGAGTGAGTGAGTGAGTTAAAATTTAAAGTCACTTTGGCCATATTATGTCAAACAGATGAAGAGTGATAGATGATTTATGCGAAGCACCAGCGTGATTCAGATTTCATGGTAATTAACATCCTTCAGAGTAGAAAGAGTAGGATATATTAATATTACACAGAATGTTCTCATGAAGAAATGTCTGTTTTGTGACGTACTCAGCAAGTACGAATTGAAACCCATGCACAAATAACTGATCAACTTTGTTAAAAAATGCAATTGCAAATATATCTTCCAGCAAATCACAGAATTCTGGGGTACGCTGTTGCCGTGTACGACTATGCAGCTACATCGACCACACAAGTGAGCTTGAAGGCTAATGACCGGATTGCAGTCATCAGCAAGAATGGCAGTGACAAGGGCTGGTGGAAGGGGCAGAACTTACGGTCACTCAAGGTGAGAACTCGCTTTGTTCTCAAACCAAAATGGCAGCTGAGGCAAATTTAAGTATGACATCAGAACAAGAAAATTTTTACTACATCAGGTGGGAAATAGGCCAAGACAGTTTATATCCAAGCGTCCTCTGTTTGTTCCACGGCTAGTCATCAATAGTCATAAATTCATCAGCTTGTCATCGAGAGTCTTCTATTACATTCTTCATTAGAGCAAGGCAAGCACACGGCCGCCATTTTGGGACAATGGGCAAGAAATACATTTGCCTACTCTATGCAAATCATGGCTTGCAACACACGTTTTTCTACAGCTTACAAACTGAAAGAGTTAGAAGAATGATTTGGAATGAAAAATAGAGTCTTACCCAAATGTCTTTTGATGGGAGACAATCATCAGTAAAAGCCTATATCCTTTTTTGAACCTGATCCAGAAATTTTGTTCAAATGTGAAGAACCATCCGTTGATGTTTTATTAACTATTATTATGTTATCTCTCCTAATCCTCATCCTTTCATTATGTTTCAGATTGGTTACTTCCCCTTGGCTTATGTTGCCGATGACGACGAATAATCGTAACCATAACAACAGATTTTAAAGTTACTTCAAATATGTACAGCTTCACATGGTGCAAAGTTTCCCTAAAGGGGAAAAGACTTATTTTTTGTGACAAACTGCACATTCATCGCTCATGTTTTGATCGGACAACAGATTTTCTGCTCTACTGAGATATGTGTGATAGTTGAGGAAGCAGACAGTACTTACTTAAATATACCTGGTGTCCATTCGGCTTTGCTCAAGGTGTAGTTAAGACCTATATGTTTATCACTGTATTACACTCTTGTACATGGGATGTTTGATAAGTATGTATGTAAGTAATATATGTTCGATTAGTTGATTTACAAAATATTTGACCTAATTTTTAATGTAAGTGCTCCAAATAGAAAAATACAACGTCCACTTTCTGGATTAGTGTGTATTAGATACTTCCTGAATATATTCAATATCCTTAGTCGAATTGTATAAATTGTGTTAGGTTTATGAACAAACAATGGACTGGTGTGTCGTCATTAAATGGCATCAGCATGTAGGCTTTGTGTCGCGAGTCCACTGATCACCATTACACCATATTTACAGTATTATGTTAGCCTGCTTAGTGTGTCCAGGCAGAGACGAAAATGTACGCAGCGTCACGACTCTGCTATTTCATCCTGTAGATAGGTCATCTCCTCAGTTTTATATCATCGGTGTTGGTAGGTGTAACACTTTGTTTTACATTGACAAGCATGTATGCACAGCCTTTGAATACTTCAATGAACAAGTCATCATCCAGTTAGTCATTGCAAAATAAACATTACTTGTATATATATCAGCTTCAGATTGTGTGCTTATCTTCAGCCTTTAAGCAATGTGATATAACAGATATGTCCCTGGCTAGGGGACTGATTACACCCGGCTCCATCATGTATCATAGATTGGGTGGAGTATTTCACCATATTTGAACACTTGTTATAGACATAGATGCCTATTTTGCTATGAAATTATTTTACAGCAGTACTAGTGGTTCTGCTAAACTGCTCATGTCCAACAAGCAACATCTATTTACTTAAGTGATGGTTTCTGTTTGATCTTAGCACTGTTGTGTTCTTAGGACTTGTTGGGCACAATGTGTGAAGCCCATTTCTGGTGTCCCCCGCCGTGATGTTGCTGGAATATTGCTAAAAGCGGCGTAAAACAAAACTCAGTCAGTCAGTCTTAGGTCTTGTTGCTGACGATGCTGAGCTATGACGACTCTCCTCCTTGGTGAGACACCATTCAGTCAGTGGTGGTAATCACTCCTGTTCTTGGATCTCACTCACTCAGCAGTTGTTTTGATGAAAGCTCCAAAATGGGTTTCTTTCTCAGCAATTGCTGCAGTGATAGCTCCAGGATCTAATGCTTTCTCTGCAGTCATTGGGGTGAATGCTGAAGGAGCTGATTCTGGATTCATGGGCAATGCAGGTCCACAGTTGTCATAGTGACAGCTCCTCCTGATAACAAGGATCCCGAGGTTACGGCATGGATTTGTCATGACAATGTAGCTCTGCTGGTCATGCTTACTTAGCTGGCTTATATTAAGTCTGAATGCTGAACCGTCTTTTCAGAGTTTTGGCTTCTCATTGAACAATTAACTCAAGGTCCTCGTCAAGCCATTCTAGGAACCATGACAGATCTGTAATTACTTGTGCTATTTTCATTGCCATTGGATTCAAGTTGACCTTTAAACCATTGCATGAACCTCTTGCAAACAAACAGCAGAAGGAGATATACTGAGAGAAACAAAATAAGGATCACAGGAAAATTGAAGCGTTCCTTTATTATTTTCCAGTTTTCATCACCACAGCGCTATTCAAAGCTGGTGATGAAAACTAGAAAATATTAAAGGAATGCTTGAATATTCCTGTGATCCCATATTTGTTTCTCTCAGTATATTATTCAGGTGCACAATAGGTCTTCTTTTATGGACCCAATGTTGCAATTTTATGCATTACTTGCTTCAGGCTCATTCAACTTTAAAATTACTGTCATGGGATATTTATAGTATTGTAGTGTTTGGTATCTCACAATGGTGACCTGAATTCTGAAGTAGTCATTAGCAATCAGCTCGCTCTGTTAAATGGTTGGATGACATAAACAGTGCCAAGATCACTCAGAGGAAAATGCTGAGCATGTTTCTGAGGGAACATACAGTTAATATATGTTGCATGTTAAATGTTGATGGGGAATAATATATTTATCAACCGTCAGTTATTCAATGCAAATTTGTGTACAGATATTCTTGAACTGATGAGGTTCATATGAAGTTGTACATAGTTGTGTATGTTTACTCATAATATGTAATAATAACTAACCATTAGGACCACCACCAGAGGGCCAACGTTGTCACATGCATCCAACATGTAGAATGTTTGTTTCAACATCTTTTTCCCATAAAATCGCTGATCATTTGTTATAGGGGTAGAATGGTCAGAGAATATAGAAGGGTCATGGTACCTGTTTGGGACGACATTTTCAGACAAAACTGCTTCAGGTTATATGATTGGTAATATGAATTTGATTTTAATGAAATATATTTTTATGTCATCTTGGAAAGGGTGATATAAAATAAGCAACCACAAAATGACATATATTCATATTGTTTACTGACAATCAAACATTAATGATCTCTTCTCAAGCCCCCTATCATTAATGATCAGTGTGAGAACAATACCATGTTTTTACTTGTTTCTAATGAACACGAGGTCAGTGACTTGGCTGTTTCTATCTTATTGTATCTCTACAGATCTTCAATGACAGTATGCGACGGAATAATGCTACCAAATCAGTTAAATAAATATGTTGCATTTTGTTACAGAGATGCGATAATACAAGGGGCAAGATTCTCTTCATTGTTGTGAGAAAACTTAAGGTATGATTTCTGTAACAGAGATACTGTCATGTTTTCAGATTTAAAAATATGTACTTTACAAAATGATTGATGTGTATAAAAGTGTAAATATGAATCCAAATTATTTCATCTTGGTAGTTCTGCTGTGCACTGAAGATAGTTGAGTTATTCAAGAAGACTGAATCATGAATATCAACATACTTCTGAATTTTATTGAAATCAGATCTCATTGTCTGCTACAGATAAACCTACGGAGCTCTATGATCTGATTGTTTCCTTAGAGATGTAAGAAAAATAGTTGGTAATTTTTGTAATACACATTTAGCTTATTCTCAGCTTGCGATGAATTGCTGATCATACAGTTCTTGTATGATGTTGTATATGATATTGCCGACATTATCTTGCTAACTCAATCTATAACATTGTGAAACTCTTATAATTATACTTATTTATGTTTACATTATTCATATTTTGATTTTTGCTTGAAAGTATTATACACTTGGTTTTAAGGTTACGATACTGGACCAAACATTAATAACAATAATACATTGATATGCTCGGATCCGCTTATGGTGGGTTTGAATCCCAGATTCATCCTGAATATTATCCATGGTGTGCCAGGTAGAACTGTGCTGGATGGTTTCAAGATGGAACGAGTCAGACATCACTTTGTGTTTTCCTTCAGCATTGAGCTAAAATATTATTCAAAATGGTGTTAAATTACTGATTTGCTGATGTCACACACGTGAATGGTGATGAAAGGGTGGGAATGCTGAGCTATTTGTGTACACCGCTTTGAGGCCAGAGTTAACATGTAAGAAGTGGTTTCAGTACAGAGGTCTGGTAGTGTTTACACACCATGCTGTTTATCACATTATTTGGCCAAACGTGTACATGGGATTTATCAACATATGCAACATTTTGCAGGGACTTTCGTTTTAGTGATATAGATTAAAGTCTTTCTAAAATATTGAACAATGTTTTTATCCTTTTATTTTCATACAGGTTTTGGCAATCATTCTGGACAATGTATATCAGTATTAAGTCTATTCAGTTTCTGAATATGGTTTCTGAAAGAAAAGACTTTAGTAATTGTTCCGAAATTAAATACTGACTTTTTTTCAGTTTCTCAAATTGAGAATTGGATGATTTTATTCTCTATGAAGACCAGTAGTGTTGTAAGCATTATCTTGAAGTGACTGAGTTACTAGTTCTGTGATGGTTTCCTAACAACTCATATCAGTATGTTGGAGTTTGTGAAAATCTTCATGACATATTTTTTTAACCACACTTTCAGTTTCTTAAACTTTTATTATATGGAGTCAATTCTTGAGTTTCTATTTTTCAAATGCATGTGTATGTGAAACAGATGATATTAACCAATATTTTGATGTGCCAATTTTGTAGTTTTCTACGTTAAAGCTACTAGCTGTGGAGCTTGATGTACTTCGTAGCTGTGTGAGTGTGTTAACTGAATTCAGATGCATGTTTTATCATGTAGTTATTATTGTTATTTTGTATAGATCTACTAGGCCAGTGTTTAACACAAGAGTGGCAGGCTTTCGTTATGTTTGACCTGTAGAGAAATCAGTCTCACAAAGATTTTTCCAAGAAGTCCCATAAACCTGGTAAAATGTCGTACTTAGTGAAAGGGCAGTGATTCCTCCCCAGGATACAGCATGGTACTACTGTCGAATTTGGAGATAACATATCAGTACGAAATGATACAAATTTAAAATGGCATAAACGTGAACAGATCTTGCTACTTTTAGATGTTACGTTTCTTAAGCCAGTTACAATAACGATAAATAACAAACTAGATCTTCTCATTCTCTCTGGATGATAAAATACAGTGCTGTATGTTTCAAATGGTGAGTTCTTGTATATTGTGTAGGTAATTGTACAGCGATGTTACTAGCAAGATATTTGTCATATCTTATGAGATATGTATCATTACTCCTGAGGTGATTCGTATCACAACATAGTGTATTATTACAGCCCTATATTAGATAAGCCAATACAGTTACAGTACTGAGGTTACAGTGCTGTGTTCCGATGAGAGGTAATATCAATGTACAGAATTTGCATAATCTCAGAATTATTTGTAAATATGACTCAGTATCAGTAATAGTCTAGGATTTTTACAAAACAAACTCAAAAGTAGAGGATTTCACACTATCAGCTGATTTCCCTCTCTGTACTTTGTGATAGTTGTACATTTGAATGTCCTTTAATTATGCAAGTAGAGTTCCAAACCAACTAACATGATGAGCATGTCTGTCAAGTGTCTGGAGAGGTGTGCATCTAATATTCTTCTTTGTCATATTTGGTATTGTAGGCCAAACAGTGGCTGTCAACTGTTGACAAACTTTTAAATAGTATACATATTTTTCAATAGTATATTTTGTAATAATTATAACCTTCTGTACATGTTGCAATGATTTAACTGCATTGGGAAGGATATCCATTTTCTTTTTTTTTAACCTTATGTTTTTTAACATACAATGACTTTTTCTGAGAAAGTGTAATGCCTAGTATCGCATGTTACTTATTCCTTGCAATCAACCTAGTACCTCGGCCATTGGCAAACAAGACGATCCACAGTCTGAGAAACAATTTACATCCCTTTATCTGTTTCAGTTTTGAAAATTCTACACATTAAGATAGACGTGTGTCATAGAATGGTTCACTTTCATTGAGAAAATATTGAAAGGAAACTCTATTTCCATTTTCAGTTTATTCCTTTGTTTACAGTTGTGGTATGATGCCACGTGTAGACACTGAGGGTTACAGATAGCTAGAAACACTGACATTCGGATGTGCAGAGGTGTATTGTCCAGGGCTCCGTTCCACAAAGCGATCGTAGCGCTAAGATGATCGTAACTCCCATTCTTTAGCATAGACTTACGACATTCGTAGCGCTACGATGGCTTTGTGAAACGGGCCCCAGCTCCATACTGTTACAGTAGAAGGGGTATATCTTTAGGATTATGCAAAACAGTCTGTAACCTATTCTTAAGGCTTCCAGTAATCACCAGACTTGTCGGTCTGCAATAAGGCATTAGTTAACAATCAAAATTATAGGTGGTGAATGTGATATTCAAGGTAGCTTGTGGCAGCGGTGTAATATTTTATAATTGAGCGTGGATTAAAAAATTGAATCAGAGCTTCATACCATCAGCTATCAGACGGTAATGAGGATTTCAACTTTCATGTGCAGACATTTCAAAGTTCCTCACGGTGATATACTTTTCTCGCAAAACGTTCCTGTTCTACTTGCT